TGTATATATACATGTGTGTATACATGTGTGTATATATACATGTGTGTATATATAAGATATATGATATATATAGATCATAGGATGTCATCAGGTGCGTTCAAACAGATGCTTTAGTTCTCATCTTTCATCGTCTGTCGTTGCAGACGATGGTGAGCAGCCTCCGCAAGCAGAACAATGACGAGCGCGCCCGCCAGGGGTCGCTAGCGGCCGAGACGGAGCGACTGCGTGGCCTGTACGACCGCGAGGCGAGTGAGAAGGAGAAGCTAGCGGACAAGCTGAACCGGGCGAAGGAGGCGGCGGCCGCGGAGAAACACAGCAGGCTGTAAGTGGGTGGGGGCTTCCTTTCCTTCCCTCCCTCCTCTCTCTCTCTCTCTCTGACCTCCCTTCTTCCTGATGGAAGGACCAGCTGTGCCGGGCGAAGGAGGCGGCGGCCGCGGAGAAACACAGCAGGCTGTGAGTGAGGCGCGAGCTTCCTTTCCTTCCCTCCCTCCTTCTCTCTTTCTCTCTCTGACCCTCTTCTTCCCTCCTCTCTCTTTCTCTGACCTCCCTTCTTCCTGATGGAAGGACAAGCTGTGCCGTGAGAGGGAGGCAGCGGCCGCGGAGAAACACAGCAGGCTGTGAGTGTGTTGGGGCTTCCTTTCCTTCCCTCCCTCCTTTCTCTCTCTCTCTCTCCCCCTCTTCTTCCCTCCTTTCTCTCTCTGACCTCCCTTCCTGATGGAAGGACAAGCTGTGCCGGGAGAGGGAGGCGGCGGTCGCGGAGAAACACAGCAGGCTGTGAGTGAGGCGCGGGCTTCCTTTCCTTCCCTTCCTCCTTCTCTCCCTCGTTCTCCTCCATCCCTTCCCTCCCTTCCTCCCTCCCTTCCTCACATTTTACTTCTCTCCTTCCCTCACCCCCTCCTACCCTCACCCCTCCATTCTTCACTTTTTCTCTCTCGTTCCCCTCCATAATACTTTCTCTCTCTCGCTCTCTCTCGTTCTCTCTCTCTCTCTCTCTCTCTCTCTCTCTCTCGTTCTCTCTTTCTCTCCCTCTTTCTCTCTTTCTCTTCTTTCTTAACCACATCCCTTCATTACCCCCTCTTTCCCTTCCTCCCCTCCTTTTCCCTCGCTCCATTCTTCTTCCCCGTTTCAGTTTTCCTCCTTTTTCCCTTTACTTTCTCCTCCCTCCCTCACCCCCGACTCCCTCTCCATCACTCATACCCAACTAATTGCCGTTCACTTGTCTCTTTCAGCGTCGCCAGTCTCAACAACAAGTCGCAGCTGCCGCCCGATGTGCGGACCGACCTACAGAGGGCGCTGTCGTCGCCGTCGCCGAGCTCTCGTCTGACCGGTGTCGCCCCCTAGGTTGCAGGTTGCGCAGCAGGATGTGATGGCGGCACGACTGCAGGCGGAGGCTGCGCAGAGCAGGGATGCGATGAAGGATCGAGACGTCTCGCAGGCCCAGGTGAGCGACGGTGTTTTACCTGTGTGTTACGTGATTAACGTAGCTCAGGTGTGAAGTAAGCGTAATTCCTGGCGCACACGTGAGTTATTTTACTCACGTGTGCGGCGGATTTTCGTTGAGTAATTTGACTCATGCGTCATTTTACTCACGTGTGCGGCGGATTTTCGTTGAGTAATTTGACTCATGCGTCATTTTACTTGAGTAAAATAACTCACGTGTGCGCCGGGCTTAAGCGTGATGTTGTACCTGAGCAAGGTTGTGTTATATAAACGACCGCAGGTGTGTGGTAAACAACCGCAGATGTGTGTAGTAAATGAGTGTCTGTGAGCAGTACATCCACAGAAGTGGCCGTACAGTAAACAAATAAACGCAGGTGTTGCAGAGCAGTAAACAAATTAATGCAGGTGTTGCAGAGCAGTAAACAAATAAATGCAGGTGTTGCAGAGTAGTAAACAAATAAACGCAGGTGTTGCAGAGTAAAAAAATGAACACAACAACGTGGCTTTCAGGAAAAAAAAAATCAAAACACAACCTACGTTCTCTTGTTTCGCGTCGCGACCGACGTTCTCTTGTTATTCGCGCAGGACCGTTTCGGCGCGATGCTGACGAGCGTTCGCGCGGACCACGACCGCCAGCGCGCCCTGCTGGAGCAACGCCTCGCCGCCGCGCAGGACTCCCTCGCCGCGCTGCGCGACGAACACCACCAGGTGGCGTCGCAGCGCGCGGCGGCGGAGAGGGAGCTGGGTGGCGTGAAGGAGGAGCTGGGGAGGAGCCGCGGGGAGGCGGCAACGACGACGGCCGCGCTGCAAGCAGCTACTGAGGTACGGGGGCGCGGGGTGGAAGACAAGTGGCTAGCTATTTTGCGCGGCGCATCGTTGTTCGTCTCGAACAAGTGGCTAGTTCTTTAAGTAGTTAGAAAATAATAATAATATAATTATAGTAATTATAATAATATATTAATAATATAATAATAATGTAAAAAATTATATATAATTAATTAAATATAATATAATATTAGTAAATCACTGATTATTATTACACAGATTTTAAGTGCGCATGTTACATGCGTCGGTTTTACTGCCTAGTGTATCCGTTGTGATCACCGAGTGTTGCAATTTGTTTTATTAAATTACAGTGGAGTCACGTTCATATGCATTGCTCGCCCCGGGCTAGGGAAAATGTATGCTAACGAAATGCAAACATAAAGTTGGTGGCACGCATATAGATGTCTATTTTCGCTGCACTTGTTTACCGCCGATAATATGTTATTAACTACCAAGAGGTAAGACGAGTTTTGTTAGAGATAGATCTAAACGCTAAAGTTTAGTACAGAGAGACACACGCGCGCGCACACGCACAAAACGCGCGCGCACGCACACACACACACGCACGCACACACACAAAACGCGCGCGCACGCACACA